ATGTCCTGCTGGTAAAAAGGCTGCAGATCAAGTAGCGGGTTGCAAATACTAGATCGGTAGCCGGTAGGTAAGCCGTAAGCGCGGTGGTGAGGACCGAGGAGGACAAGTCGACGGTGGTTATCGCCGATCGTCAAGCTGGCTCCACCCTCCACGCAACCAACGCATCATGGCATCATCCGGTGGTTTCTCCAAAGAGAAGAGAATAATCTATGCCCAATGCCCTACGTACACCTGCAGACCGTCCAAACCCAATGAGCGGCGACAGTATGTCCATTTTAGGCGCCAGCTCGCTGGAATGTTGTTCGTTATGATAAGCTGTTGTAGTATTATTCCATAGGAAGAAGGGATAAGCTGTCTTATTGAACCGCACAAACTGGCATTTTTTGATTCCAGACAGCCGCAACAATGCAGGGCGGATGCTAACTCGTTAACAGAAACAATCACGCATGCAGATGCTAGCTTGCTAGCATAAACAACAGTATGCAAGATCGTCCCTAAAAAAAAATAAGCCAGATCAGTATACATCACTTATTAGTAGCTGCAACAATTCAGGCTGCGATGTATTCCCACATCTCTGAAAACTAAAAGGCTCATAAATTTTCTTCCAAGTTAAATGGTGCAATGTTTGATCAAGTTTGTAATAAATCATCGATAACTGGTTGTTAATATTTCGCTGCTGGTTTCTCACGTACCCAGCCGCCGCCTCCGGGCTTTTCTCCCCCAAAAAACTTAGGGTTCCTCTGCCTCCCGTCGGCGCTGCCGTCGGTTCGTCACGTTTCCGGTGGCTTTAGGGCCATGAGGGCGCGGTGTCCCGGCCCTTGCCAGCAGGAGGGCCACGTCGTTAGATGTTTCTACAAATTTTTTTAGGGTTTGTGCCCTGCTTAGAAAGGCTAGGCGGCGGCGGCTCTCTGAAGATGGAATAATGTTCTCCCCGCCTAGCCCCTGTTCTGGTGGTGTGTCTAGTATCGTCGGTGGGCGTGTGGAGGTGTGTCTCTAGCGGATCTATCCTTGATGGATTTGTTCGGATCTGGTTGTAGTTCGTCTATGTTCATGTGTCTTTAGGTTAAATTCTTCCGATCTATACTACTCTTCATAGGCGACGGTTGTTGTTCTGCTACGCTGGTCCTATGTGATCTTAGCACGACGACTTCCCGACTATTTGCAACAAGAAGTTTTGCCCGGCTCCGGTGAGGGAGGAGCGATGACGGCGGCGTGCCTTCGGCTCGCTTCAGTGCTTGTAGTCGTCGCTAGGTGGTCTACGTATTTGGATGTAATTTTTATTATTTTTTGTGTTCGTTGTACTACCATGATTGAAGATGAATAGATCAAAAGTTTTCTCACAAAAAAACTGGTATTTAATATTTTCATATAAATTTGGTCCAAATTTGCACCACCTCATTTGAGACAAAATCATAATATTTTAAGAGATGGTGGAAGAAAGGTAACTACCATGAAATGTTTGGCTCCTCCTCATTAAAGGCGGCTCCCGGGCGACAAGAGTTTCCTACCTCCTGTCGGCACCATCGTGGTCTGCCTCATCTCCTATGGCATTGGTCATAGATGTGCGGTGGACCCAGACCCTTGTTGGCGGGAGGGCTCCTGATCCGTTTTAGGTGTTGGTTAGGGTTTGTGTTCTGCTTAGGAAGATAAGACGGCAGCAATTCCCTGAAGATGGAATACGGTTCTTCTCACCTAACCCCTGTCTAGGCGATGTGTCTGGTGTCGTTCGAGGGCATGTGGAGGCATGTTTCTGTTGGATATCATGGGATTTGGTCGATGCTTTCCTTCCATGGATATGCTTCGATTCAATCTTCGTCGGCTAAGTTCGCGTGTCTATAGATTGGATCCTTCCAATCTGCGCTTCTCTTTATCGACGACGGTTGTTGGTCTGGTACACTGGTCTTGCGGGAAGCTGATATAAATTACGATGAAATGTTAAGATTAGCTCACTAAAACAATTCCCTTCCAACTCTCGCCCCTCTCCTGTTAATAAAACGGTGAGAGTTGGAGTCTCGAGTGCCATGACTATTTCCTTATGAATTTTCAATCTCCATAACCAAACAATAGATTTGAAGTCTAGTACCACTTTAATTCCCATTCCCAAGCTCTAAATACCCCAACCAAACACGCTCAAAAGGGTTCTGAAGAAAAAATTCCTATAAAAATCTTATCCTACAGAATTCACGTGAAATTCCTTCAAACCAAAGGAGGCCGGTATATTCGGACGTTGACACAACTGCCGGCTGCAGCCTGCAGCACCGTTCGAAAACACACATGCCCGGTTTCGGCTAAACTTTACTTAACTCAACAAACACATCAACATGGTCAATCGGCACATCACATGGATATCTTGGAAGTAATGAATGGATTGAAGATCAAGCAACAAAAGTCCAAGTGGATCCACGAAAAAACGCAAGCAGGCAAGGCAAAGAGAGAAACCACCACCAAGGAAAAATCAGAGGAGACTTGCAAGGAAAGGCTTGGGAAGCATCGATTCCGCGGCCGCCCGCCTGAAGCGCGTGCCCCCGTTCAAATCCCCAGATTTTCAAAAGTCAAACCAAATCCCCAAAAACAGCGCAAAAATTCAACCATCAACCAGCAATAATCGTAGGCCGATGGATGGCATCAACACATGGGCTCGCACTGTTAACCCCTTTCTCTCTCCTTTTCCTCGCACCATCAGGAAAAAGAAAACCCTTTCTCCTTCCTTCCTCCCTCGCTCGCACGCCCAAAAAGCCTAACCACCCGGCCCCTGCCCCCGACCAAACCCGCACCGGCCGCCGCGCCTCGCGTCTCGCTCGCCGCCGACGCGGTCCGGTGGTGGTGGGGGCCTCGCCGCGATGGATTGGGCGGCGGTGGCGTACACGGCGGCGGCGCTGCTGTGCGCCGCGGCGGCCACCGTCATCACGCTCGGCCACATCTACCGCCACCTGCTCCACTACGCCGAGCCCATCTTCCAGCGCTTCATCGTCCGCATCATATTCATGGTCCCGGTACGCTCCCCCTTTTCCACGCGCGCAGCTTCCACCTCGCGCCAGATCTGTCGCTGCCGCCGCCTGTTTTTTTTTTCTCAATTTTTTTCCTGGGGCTGAATTCGACCCGGCCGCGAGCTGGGAAGCGAGCCCGCCCCCGCGGATTCGCGGCGAGATCGTGCGTCGGTCTGACCTATGATTCAATCCAAATTAGGGATGCAAGCGGGGCGGGTTGGTGGACAATATCACAGCACAAATGCAGTCTTAATTTTACTGCTAGTTAAGGAGCTGACTGTGAGCTAATTGATGCGTGTTCTCCGGGAGGCTGCTTCCGCCCCTGAATCCCTAACCCCAATGTGTTGTACTACTACTCGCATTAGGTAGAGCATGGTTTCCTTGTTGATCTGCAGTTGGGATCTGCTGGCGCTCTTAGGTTTTGATCGGTGCCCAAGGTGGGCTGTGAGGCGAATTCGCGCTGGTAGTGAGGCTGTGGTTGGAATATCTGGATTTGGAGTGCTCCCTGACCAACATGCTCCTGCCATCTGAGCTCATTATGAAGCTTGGGAGCAGTACGACTGTCCTGCCATTTTACTCCAGACTAGATGTGCAAGCTAGTCATATTGGAGCGAGCTGATCATTATGGATGTTCAGCTTTTTGCTGTTGTCATTTGTCATGAATAAGCAAATTAATTCATCTGAGTGGCAGAGTTCTGATAGAAACGTTGGGTTCTTCAACGCTTCTCTAAGCGCATTTCCTTCTGCCATAAGCCCATAACACTGTTTTTATGTCAAATATGCTTTAATTTCCATGAAGATGTAAAACAACTGTTTGAGCATTTTTGACTGTCTATTAGCAGATTATTCATGAGCCACACATTTACATTTCACCCTCGTATCTAATTGTATTTGTTTGTTTATCTGTAATCCCTTTTATGCTAGTAACACTCCACCGTATTAGTTCTGAAGACACATTGTTTTGCAGGTCTATGCAGTGATGTCATTTATTTCCCTTATCCTACCAGACAATGCAATATATTTTACCTCTATCCGAGAAATGTAAGTTGCTGTCTTGCAGTTCAAACTTCTTTGGTGCCATTATGTTAATCGATGGGCTCAATGTGAGATTATGGTTTCAGCCTGTTGGTGTTTCTCTGGTCTTAGGGGGGAGGAGAACAAATGGAAGCTTTTTTTTTGTTCTCTTTAATGGAATACATGCAAACGTTTCCTTTTCTGCTACCATGTTAAATTTATGGTCTGCAAATTGTGATCTGTACACAAGATTATAAGTTTGTAATGTTGTGTGACATTTATAAGCACTTCTATAGGCTCGAGCTAGTATCAAATCCAACTGGATATGCTATCAATATCAACAGTCTGCTGACTGCTCATGGGTTAAGCACTGATCATAACTAGTGAACATAGTTGGATCCGTTATATACCTTGTGGACAACTGCAGCCATACCCCCATGGGTGTATGCATCACAGATTCGTATGTGGTGTTTTAGAGGATTCATGTATCCATTTGCTTTAAATGTCTTCCTAGGAAGTATAACATGATAGAGAATAACCAGCTGGGAGTGTGTGATGAGTGATCTTCTCTAGTGTCAAATTGCAAATTAATAATCCTAGGTTATGAAACGATAATATGTGCTTCCACTTTGCCATGGCCTAAATTCATGCTACCCACTTTGCCATGGCCTAAATGACTAATGGCCGAACACTGAAACCATTGTGTAATGACTAATGACCAAAGAGGTGGTTGTGTGTAATTTATGAAATGCTGGCCATTTCATAAGTATTATTCTCTTCTTTTCCTTGCGTGTGCTGGCTACACACTTTAACAGGTTAGCCTGAGTTAGCATATTATAATCCCAACTTTAGGTGACATTTTATCTTGCTGATTGTTGCCCATGTGCTGGTTTGTCTGTTTGTTTCTAATCTAATAGTCTTCACAAGTACCTAAACTAAGAACTGCATGAGTGTATATCCATCCTATGCTAAATTTTCCTTTACCATAATGTTTCAGCTATGATGCTTGGGTCATCTACAATTTCTTTTCACTCTGCTTGGCATGGGTGGGAGGACCTGGGGCTGTGGTGGTGAGTTTGAATGGCCGAACACTGAAACCATCGTGGTTTCTTATGACTTGCTGTTTCCCAGCTATTCCTCTAGATGGGTGCGTATGTGTCCTTCTGCATAATAAGTTGCTATCATATGACAATTATACATTGGCATGTTGCAACATCCTTCATGAAGTCTAACTGATCTATTATGTCACTTAAACAGGCGTTTTATACGGAGATGCAAACAAGGCTGTTTGCAGTTTGTTATTCTTAAGCCTATCTTGGTGGTTATTACCTTCATACTTTATGCTAAAGGAAAATATGAAGATGGAAACTTCAGTGTCAACCAATCCTATTTATACATCACTATTATTTACACAATCTCATACTCGATGGCGTTATATGCTCTTGCATTGTTCTATGCGGCATGCAGAGATCTACTCCGGCCATATAATCCTGTCCCAAAGTTTATTATAATCAAATCAGTTGTGTTTCTCACATACTGGCAGGTAAATACAAAACATCAACCCATGTTTTCCTCTCTTCGATGGTATGATAGGTTGCCAACTGTTTTAATCCTCACATATGGTCATAATAATTTGAATTTTTTGGCATTGTAGGGTGTCCTGGTGTTCCTTGCTGCCAAGTCTCGATTTATCAAGAATGCTGAAAAGGCTGCTGATCTCCAGAACTATGTATTGTGCGTTGAGATGCTCATAGCAGCCATTGGGCACCTGTTTGCGTTTCCCTACAAGGAGTATGCAGGTGCAAATGCTCGCCCTTCGGGTGGTTTCAGGGAAAGCCTTCTTCATGCTTTAAAATTCAATGATTTCTACCACGACACTGTCCACCAGGTAACCAGGATCTTAGACGCCTATTCCCTGTATCTGGCGCTCACTGTCTAACTTCTCGATCAAATAGGCTCCATTCTTGTTTGCTGAAGGAAACTACATTCTTGTTTACTGTGCCTTGCCCGTATCTTGGTCTAATCGGCTCCATTCTCATGCAGTTTGCTCCTACCTACAACGAATATGTGCTGTACAACCACAATGAGGGAGAGAGTGCACCAACAAAGTTTCCTTCAGGGAGCGCCGTGCCAAGTGTCCGGGATGTGGAGTTGGCTGGCATCATCGTGATGCCGCCCTCAAATAATAGTCCAGTGACCTCAAGCATGTCATCCAACCACGTAGACCAGGACGAATCGATGACCACTCCGATCAGGAACAAAGTGGACCCGCCTGGAGGAATGTACGACCTCACGGACCTGCTCGACGTGGACTTGTCTAGCTACCCCGCCAAGGTTCCTGCGATCTCTGATGTAAGAAAACAATGACCAGGTGCGACAGCCAATGTGTCTCGGTAGCGACTGGGGGAAATTGTGACCTTCCATTTTGTCATAGATAACGCTGTAAAAATGTGTGTGTACTACTTCCGGTTCCAGTCTTTCCCCATTGAAGAAGGGGGGTTTATTCATGACTGCACTGCAGCTGTCCCACGGCCTCTCTCACCCTACTCTTTGACTAACCGTGTACAATGTTGTGAGCTCAAGGTGAACTGCTGTGACATGAGACTATGAATACCATACTAATAGTTTGCTGATAGCAGTTTTGGGAGAGAATACTGTCCTTTTTGATTGGTGCTGGGTATCTTTCTTTTGCTTCATAGACATCACAAGATATGGTTTGCTGAACCTAGACATGTATGAGAAGTTGCCTTGCTAAAGGCGACCGTCAGTAGCCGTGTAAGGAACGAACTTTGAACTGGGAACACTTTGGTTTTCTATATACAAATACTTTAAGAAACAGGGTGATTGAATACAGCTTTCTGCCTATAGCTCAAAAACACTATAAATATACAAATACAACATGATTTATGGTCACACGTTCAAAAGATGGCTAAATCATCCGGATTATTGGTGTTATACAGCAGTGCTATCATTTGCACCAACTGCTTCCACGTTATGGTCACTTTGAGCAGAGCTCTGCTCCTTTGGTTGCACCACTTTATCATCCTTATAATCATCTTCAACCTGGGAATCAGTCGAGGAACCTAACAACAAGCTCTCAAAAGTTATCAGCGTCATTCTCGATCTACTGAACTATATATCAGATCTATTATAAAAGGTTCATCAGAAGTACTCCCTCTGTCCCAAAATATAAGAACATTTTTGACACTAGTGTAGTGTTAAAAACGTTCTTATATTTTGAGACGGAGGGAGTACAAAACACTCCAAACATAAATACATAATAAAAATTACATCGAGGTCTCTGGACCACCGAATTGTAGTACATTCTGGAGGACATTTTTTGCTATATGATGGATAGTTCCTTGTGGTGATGTTTGCAGAGTGACTATCATGATTTATAGATGCATTGCTCTCGGCTCTATTGGTCTAATCATTGGCCAGTTTAGATAAATGAATATTAAAGTGAATAGTGTGCATTAGGTTGAGTCAATTTGCAAAGTGCCCCAGTGACAGAAAAGAGAGAAAACTTCGACATATTTTTTTGAACGGTTTATTTATTTATTTTTTGAACGGTACTTCGACAGATTTGTATTTCACTAAAGATAAAAAGGCTTTGACAGCTTTTATTTCATACAAGTCACTTTTTCTTCTTCTTCTTGTAAAGATGGCAAACCCTACCAGAGTGATACGAGGGTAAGAGCACTCAATGGAGAAGGTACACCTCTGATGATGATTTTACCCAAGAGAAGGTTGTTGGCGTTGTCGGTCTCACAAGACTTGTCACCGACAAGCCCGCTACTGTCTTCAACTAGAATCAAGGCTCGGCTTGAGAAAGGTTTAGTTTTCTTGCATTAAAGGCAAGGAAAAACTTGATGAGCTTTTGGGCAACCAAAAGGAGACTTTCCAAAAGGAAGGGTTTGGCTAGGTGTCGGTTTCGTGCCACAGTACCGTTAGGAGACAACTGATTGTTCCGTAGAGACGAACACCGTCTTACTGAGTGGTTCAGGCGAAGACACAACAAGTTTACATGTGTTTGAACTCTCTGGGGAGGAGGTAACTTTACTTCTTCCTTTGGTATTATATATAATGGCACCAGGGATCTATTCTAGAGACCACAACCCTGAAGGAAATATGCCCTAGAGGCAATAATAAAGTTATTATTTATTTCCTTATAATCATGATAAATGTTTATTATTCATGCTAGAATTGTATTTACCGGAAACATAATACATGTGTGAATACATAGACAAACAGAGTGTCACTAGTATGCCTCTACTTGACTAGCTCGTTAATCAAAGATGGTTATGTTTCCTAACCATGAACAATGAGTTGTTATTTGATTAACGAGATCACATCATTAGTAGAATGATCTGATTGACATGACCCATTCCATTAGCTTAGCACCCGATCGTTTAGTATGTTGCTATTGCTTTCTTCATGACTTATACATGTTCCTATGACTATGAGATTATGCAACTCCCGTTTACCGGAGGAACACTTTGGGTACTACCAAACGTCACAACGTAACTGGGTGATTATAAAGGAGTACTACAGGTGTCTCCAATGGTCGATGTTGGGTTGGCGTATTTCGAGATTAGGATTTGTCACTCCGATTGTCGGAGAGGTATCTCTGGGCCCTCTCGGTAATACACATGACATAAGCCTTGCAAGCATTACAACTAATATGTTAGTTGTGAGATGATGTATTACGGAACGAGTAAAGAGACTTGCCGGTAACGAGATTGAACTAGGTATTGGATACCGACGATCGAATCTCGGGCAAGTAACATACCGATGACAAAGGGAACAACGTATGTTGTTATGCGGTCTAACCGATAAAGATCTTCGTAGAATATGTAGGAGCCAATATGGGCATCCAGGTCCCGCTATTGGTTATTGACCAGAGACGTGTCTCGGTCATGTCTACATTGTTCTCGAACCCGTAGGGTCCGCACGCTTAAGGTTACGATGACAGTTATATTATGAGTTTATGCATTTTGATGTACCGAAGGTTGTTCGGAGTCCCGGATGTGATCACGGACATGACGAGGAGTCTCGAAATGGTCGAGACATAAAGATTGATATATTGGAAGTCTATGTTTGGACATCGGAAGTGTTCCGGGTGAAATCGGGATTTTACCGGAATACCGGAAGGGTTACCGGAACCCCCCGGGAGCTATTTGGGCCATAGTGGGCCTTAGTGGAAAAGAGAAGGGGCTGCCCTAGATGGGCTGCGCGCCCCCCCTTCCCCTAGTCCTATTAGGACTAGGAGAGGTGGCCGGCCCCCTCCTCCTGTTTTCCCCTCCGAGGAATCCTAGTTGGACTAGGATTGGAGGGGGAATCCTACTCCCAGTGGGAGTAGGACTCTCCTGCGCCTCCCCCCTTTGGCCGGTCAGCCTCCCCTCCTCTCCTCCTTTATATACGGAGGCAGGGGCACCTCTAAACACACAAGTTGACACAAGTTGATCCACGTGATCGATTCCTTAGCCGTGTGCGGTGCCCCCTGCCACCATATTCCTCGATAATACTGTAGCGGAGTTTAGGCGAAGCCCTGCTGCTGTAGTTCATCAAGATCGTCACCACGCCGTCGTGCTGACGAAACTCTTCCCCGACACTTTGCTGGATCGGAGTCCGGGGATCGTCATCGAGCTGAACGTGTGCTCGAACTCGGAGGTGCCGTAGTTTCGGTGCTTGATCGGTTGGATCGTGAAGACGTACGACTACTTCCTCTACGTCGTGTCATCGCTTCCGCAGTCGGTCTGCGTTGGGTACGTAGACAACACTCTCCTCTCGTTGCTATGCATCACATGATCCTGTGTGCGCGTAGGAAAATTTTTGAAATTACTACGAAACCTAACAAGAACATCCTAAAATACCTGAAAAGGACTAAGGATATGTTTCTCGTATATGGAGGTGACAAAGAGCTCACCGTAAAAGGTTACGTTGATGCAAGCTTTGACACTGATCCGGACGATTCTAAATCGCAAACCGGATACGTGTTTACATTAAACGGTGGAGCTGTCAGTTGGTGCAGTTCTAAACAAAGCGTTGTAGCGGGATCTACATGTGAAGCGGAATACATAGCTGCTTCGGAAGCAGCAAATGAAGGAGTCTGGATGAAGGAGTTCATATCCGATCTAGGTGTCATACCTAGTGCATCGGGTCCAATGAAAATCTTTTGTGACAATACTGGTGCAATTGCCTTGGCAAAGGAATCCAGATTTCACAAAAGGACCAAACACATCAAGAGACGCTTCAACTCCATCCGGGATCTAGTCCAGGTGGGAGACATAGAGATTTGCAAGATACATACGGATCTGAATGTTGCAGACCCGTTGACTAAGCCTCTTCCACGAGCAAAACATGATCAGCACCAAGGCTCCATGGGTGTTAGAATCATTACAGTGTAATCTAGATTATTGACTCTAGTGCAAGTGGGAGACTGAAGGAAATATGCCCTAGAGGCAATAATAAAGTTATTATTTATTTCCTTATAATCATGATAAATTTTTATTATTCATGCTAGAATTGTATTTACCGGAAACATAATACATGTGTGAATACATAGACAAACAAAGTGTCACTAGTATGCCTCTACTTGACTAGCTCGTTAATCAAAGATGGTTATGTTTCCTAACCATGAACAATGAGTTGTTATTTGATTAACGAGGTCACATCATTAGCAGAATGATCTGATTGACATGACCCATTCCATTAGCTTAGCACCCGATCGTTTAGTATGTTGCTATTGCTTTCTTCATGACTTATACATGTTCCTATGACTATGAGATTATGCAACTCCCGTTTACCGGAGGAACACTTTGGGTACTACCAAACGTCACAACGTAACTGGGTGATTATAAAGGAGTACTACAGGTGTCTCCAATGGTCGATGTTGGGTTGGCGTATTTCAAGATTAGGATTTGTCACTCCGATTGTCGGAGAGGTATCTCTGGGCCCTCTCGGTAATACACATCACATAAGCCTTGCAAGCATTACAACTAATATGTTAGTTGTGAGATGATGTATTACGGAACGAGTAAAGAGACTTGCCGGTAACGAGATTGAACTAGGTATTGGATACCGACGATCGAATCTTGGGCAAGTAACATACCGATGACAAAGGGAACAACGTATGTTGTTATGCGGTCTGACCGATAAAGATCTTCGTAGAATATGTAGGAGCCAATATGGGCATCCAGGTCCCGCTATTGGTTATTGACCAGAGACGTGTCTCGGTCATGTCTACATTGTTCTCGAACCCGTAGGGTCCGCACGCTTAAGGTTACGATGACAGTTATATTATGAGTTTATGCATTTTGATGTACCGAAGGTTGTTCGGAGTCCCGGATGTGATCACGGACATGACGAGGAGTCTCGAAATGGCCGAGACGTAAAGATTGATATATTGGAAGCCTATATTTGGATATCGGAAGTGTTCCGGGTGAAATCGGGATTTTACCGGGTTACCGAGAGGGTTGCCGGAACCCCCCGGGAGCTATTTGGGCCATAGTGGGCCTTAGTGGAAAAGAGAAGGGGCTGCCCTAGATGGGCTGTGCGCCCCCCCCCCTTCCCCTAGTCCTATTAGGACTAGGAGAGGTGGCCGGCCCCCTCCTCCTCTTTTCCCCTCCGAGGAATCCTAGTTGGACTAGGATTGGAGGGGGAATCCTACTCCCAGAAGGAGTAGGACTCTCCTGCGCCTCCCCCCCTTGGCCGGCCAGCCTCCCCTCCTCTCCTCCTTTATATACGGAGGCAGGGGCACCTCTAAACACACAAGTTGACACAAGTTGATCCACGTGATCGATTCCTTAGCCGTGTGCGGTGCCCCCTGCCACCATATTCCTCGATAATACTGTAGCGGAGTTTAGGCGAAGCCCTGCTACTGTAGTTCATCAAGATCGTCACCACGCCGTCGTGCTGACGGAACTCTTCCCCGACACTTTGCTGGATCGGAGTCCGGGGATCGTCATCGAGCTGAACGTGTGCTCGAACTCGGAGGTGCCGTAGTTTCGGTGCTTGATCGGTTGGATCGTGAAGACGTACGGCTACTTCCTCTACGTCGTGTCATCGCTTCCGCAGTCGGTCTGCGTAGGGTACGTAGACAATACTCTTCCCCTCGTTGCTATGCATCACATGATCTTGCGTGTGCGTAGGAATTTTTTTTTGAAATTACTACGAAACCCAACAGTGGCATCCGAGCCTAGGTTATTGATGTTGATGTTATATGCACGAGTAGAACACAAGTAAGTTGTGGACGATACAAGTTATACTGCCTACCAGCATGTCATACTTTGGTTCGGCGGTATTGTTGGACGAGACGACCCGGACCAACCTTACGCGTACGCTTACGCGAGACCGGTTTCCTCGACGTGCTTTGCACAGAGATGGCTTGCGGGCGACTGCCTCTCCAACTTTAGTTGAACCAAGTATGGCTACGCCCGGTCCTTGCGAAGGTTAAAACGGAGTCTATTTGACAAACTATCATTGTGGTTTTGATGCGTAGGTGAGATTGGTTCTTACTTAAGCCCGTAGCAGCCACGTAAAAACATGCAACAACAAAGTAGAGGACGTCTAACTTGTTTTTGCAGGGCATGTTGTGATGTGATATGGTCAAGGCATGATGCTGAATTTTATTGTATGAGATGATCATGTTTTGTAAACAAGTTATCGGCAACTGGCAGGAGCCATATGGTTGTCGCTTTATTGTATGCAATGCAATCGCGATGTAATGCTTTACTTTATTACTAAACGGTAGTGATAGTCGTGGAAGCATAAGATTGGCGAGACGACAACGATGCTACGATGGAGATCAAGGTGTCGCGCCGGTGACGATGGTGATCATGACGGTGCTTCGGAGATGGAGATCACAAGCACAAGATGATGATGGCCATATCATATCACTTATATTGATTGCATGTGATGTTTATCTTTTTATGCATCTTATCTTGCTTTGATTGACGGTAGCATTATAAGATGATCTCTCACTAAATTTTCAAGAAGTGTTCTCCCTGAGTATGCACCGTTGCCAAAGTTCGTCGTGCCCAGACACCACG